CGTTACTCTTGATCATCTGTCCATCATCGTATAAAGCCCGCCCTGACAATTTGATTGGATCGCCTGACAGTGGGCTTTAATACTCGCGCTACTATGGAGTAGAGCCAGACCGAACTTCCCCGAACTCAAACCTTGTGGGCGGGACTAAGTTCGGACTGGCACCCAGGCTACGATTCTCCACCCGTGCAAGAATTTTTGTATTTTTGTGTACAGCGGGTAACGAGGGCTGATCAGCCTCTCACAACCACCTCCCGATCAGGAATTGTAAGGTAGGGATAATATCAAACATGTTTGAAATTCAGTTGGCTGTCGTAAGGTGGTCGTGGGCAAATCAATTAGTGCGCATGCTCAAACAAGTATTCTTGTTCTTCCTCTCAGACGAAAACACAGAAGCATGGCGGGGTGCGAGTGAAATGGAGTTCTGTCTGTAAAATTGACAAACTGTAGTAGCCACGTTTTCTCAGTCATGTCTTTGTCCAAATATGTCGTCGCCCTTTTCTTTTTAGGGCTTTCAGCACACAAAATTGCGCATTTATCTCTAGTAGCCTCTCTTGTACTCGTTTGTGTCATGATTTTATCTAAAGATCTGGCCCACATGCAGAAGACCAAACAGAAAGACCAGGGAACAGTTTAACAGGTTTAATTGAGAGTTGGTTGAAAGGAGTCCAGTGCTGCTCTGAACACTGTCAAACCGGGACTGAAAAGTGAAGGGGAAGATTCTGCGGTTAGTTCAGGCTCCGAGGGAAATTTGCGTCTTCGATTTGAAGAAGGGAATTAAGGCAACAGGACTTACGTTTCCAGAAAAAGGTGTCTCTTGTTGAATCCAGTTGGTGTGGGTTGTTCCAGTGAATGACTTGCTCGTTGGAGGGCGGACAGGGTTTAACCAGGTTGTGGTGTTCCCTTGAGGAACGGAGGAGCTGACTGCCACTTACTTTTCCTGCGGTACTTAAACGGTTTCTTGTGGAGATGAAACCCCTTGCTCAGAGAGACGCCCAAACAATCCTTGGGGCAAAAGTAGATCCAAACCTCTAGCTTGAATCCTCAGCTCAGTTTGATGCTCAGAGAATCCTTCCAGGGGGGAGAAGGTCCAAAACATCCAGTTTGCAGGATGACCAAAACTGGCAAACACTCTGGCGTCGAGGTAGTGGCAGTCAGCAGCTTAAGAGTCCTCTGGTAATGAGGTAACCATGCGCAGGTGTGTGCCTGGTGGTGGGGGGAAGACAAACAAAAGCACAACCCACACAAACTGGATGCCTAACAGTTTGGCTTCTGGATAGACAAGTCCAATTGGTGCCATCTCACTGTGGACCTGAGTCCAACGTGGTAGACGTACAGTGTGAGCAGGTAGATCGCATCAGAGCATTGAGTCGCACAGTGTGAGAGCATACATAATGAGCTGTGAACTCACACTGTACGAGGAAACCCTGTGCGTTCAACGATTGAAAATATCGTACAGTGTATGCCCGGCTTAAGTAGGCTTAAATACATAAGAAGTATTCCCTGCAGCCATCCTGGAGAAAATGACACCATGTGACTAATCTGCTGTATTTTGTGCTTGAAGTTTAACTTCCTTTACAGTATTATTATTTCTCAATCAGTAGAATTATAAAAATACAATAAAGAAATACATTTTTGGTGTTATTTTTCCTTTGAGTGTCTGAAAAAAATGGAATATATGGAATATGCATAATATACCTCCTGTAAATTCAATATTTAAATTTCAGTTTTCTCATGTTGGCTTTCACATTTTGATTGAGCTGTCAGAGATCTTCAGTTTTTAAACTAATGACCTACCCAGGGTGTATTCCATCTCTTGGCTCGCTTGTATTACATGCCTGATAACGTATAAAAGTATAAAGTATTAAACATTAACAGCAGTCTAACCCTGACACATAGAGGCCAAGTGAATGTAGTATGAATTCTAGATGGAAAAAATTTTTCAGTGCTTTTAAAACACCCCTACTGGACCTGATATTGGATTTTAATAGTTGACATTTGAAAACACATCAACTGCTTTAATCAGCATGTAACACCTAAGATTTATTTTCTTTTCTTTTGCAAATTCTGCACATTTCTAGCATTTGCAGCACTGGTCTGGTTCNTCTGATCTGCTGCTTCACATCAGAGCTTCTTTTCTGGATGAGACGGATCAGATCAGTGAAGATCTTCTCACTGTTCTCCACTGCTTTATCAGCAGCTACGTTGATGGCCTCCACTCCCTGTTGAAGCAGCTTCACATCTTTCTCTTGGTCCTGGATTCTCTGCTGGATTTGTTGTCGTCTCTCCTGGAGCTCCTTCTGCCTGTCAGCCCTTTCGGTCGCGGCTGGGACTGTTTCATGGCCTTTATGTTCATCCATAGTGCAGAGATAACAGATACACTGCTGATCAGTACGACAATAGATCTTCATCTCCTCATCATGAAGAGTGCAGATCCTTTGCTGAAGTTTGGTAGAAACTTGAACTAGTTTATGTTTTCTAAAATTTAATGATTCATAGTGAGGCTGGAGATGATCCTCACAGTAAGAAGCCCTGCAGATCAGACAGGATTTAACAGCTTTCATCTTCCTCCCAGTGCAGACATCACAGGCCACATCTTCAGGTCCAGCATAGCAGTGATCAGCTGCTGCAGCTTGGATTCCAGTCTTCTCTAGATCCTCCACTAACTCAGCTAACACGATGTTCTTCACCAGCATAGGCCTCGGTATGAACTCTTTCCTGCACTGAGGGCAGCTTTGGATTCTCCTCTGATCTTCTCCATCCCAGTGAATTTTGATACAGTTCATACAGTAGCTGTGTCCACAGGGAATAGTTACCGGATCCTTCATTATTTCCTGACAGATCGAACAAAGAAATTTACCTGAATTAACAAGACTTCCTGGTTGTGCCATTTTGCCCTCAGAACAACAGCCACAAGTCTGCAAAAAAGTTCCTCTGTTTTAAGTTTCACACAGTCAGTGCATTTCCTCTTTAATCCGCTGCAGTCAGACTTTGCAGATCTTCACGGCACATTGATTCAAGGCAACTGAGCCCCAGATGTCAGAGTAGTGAAAGAGAACGAACCAGGAAATGTTAGTGCGGATCAGCAGAAAAAAAAAAGGGAGGGACTTGCTATGCTCTGTTTTTTTTGTTTTTTTTTATAGCTTTGTTGATATTCATGTCTGTACACTACAGGTCTGTTTTTTGTCATTGCTTTAATTTTTCTAAGAAGTAACTTGCTTTTATTGTATCTATGCCTAAACATTAACAAATCTGAAAACATTTATTGTTGTGGACACAGCTTTAAGATTTCTGGACTTTTTTTTTTGTTAAATTTAATTATTAAGTACAATAATCCCTACAGAACGTTTCCTAGACCAGGTGTCGGCAACCCAAAATGTTCAAAGAGCCATATTGGATCAACAAAACAAAAAACAGATCTATCTAGAGCCGCAACACTGTTTTAGTCTTCTATAAGCCTCCTAAGAGCCCTCTGTGTATATTAGCCCACTATCAAAATGACTAAAACCGGGCTTGCACTGTACAGTTTTTTGCCCTTTTCGGGCCGATTCTCCACTCCTGCAAGAATTTTTGTATTTTTGTGCACAGCGGGTAACGAGTGGTGATCAGCCTCTCACAACCACCTCCCGATCAGGAATCCTAAGGTAGGGAGAAAATCAAACATATTTGAAATTCTGTCGGCTATCAGAGATTTTCAGTTTTTAAACTAATGACCTTCCCAGGGTGTGTTCCATCTCTTGGCTCTCTTGTATAACATGCCTGATAACGTATCAAAGTAAAAAGTGTTAAACATTAACAGCAGTCACATGGAGGCCAAGTGAATGTAGTATGAATTCTAGATGGGAAAAATTGTTCAGTGCTTTTAAAACACCCCTACTGGACCTGATATTGGATTTTAATAGTTGACATTTGAAAACTCATCAACTGCTTTAATCAGCATGTAAGACCTAAGATTTATTTTCTTTTCTTTTGCAAATTCTGCACATTTCTAGCATTTGCAGCACTGGTCTGGTTCAGGGATTTGTTTAAGTGATCTTTTTTTTGGCCCAGCTTGTTCTCACAGTCTTGGACAAACAATGCCCTACATTGGCAATGAATTGTTTCCATGGTAGTTTTGCTCCAGTATTGTATTTACAAAAAAAAAAGTCTGCTCTGCCTCATGAGATATGAGTTGCCGTCTTAAAGTACTCAGCTGTACTCAATCTGTACTCGGCTCACGTTTTGAAATGTGAATTGAACTTTTGCCATCAGTGAGGTGATTTACAGTAGGGTCCCTTTTGGTAAAAGACACCGGTATAACAACTCCTTTGTGCCTTATTTCATTCCGTTCATAAACCAGAGAAAGGATAAATAGACTGTTTAGGGCAGATCTAGATTTTGATTGAATTATGGTGATAAATTTGTATGATGTGGTGTTGTGTGGGAGTCATCTAAAGGATTGCGTAGACAAAATGTCCATTTTCATGGGCAATAAAGTGTTATCTACTAATGTAACTGTTCACCTGCATATGTTCTCTAATATATAAACCATTTTATATTTCAGTTTTTTATCATATTAATGATCTCTCCTTAAGTAACCTCCTCTGCTCAGGTGCATTTGTTGTTGCTGGCCCAGGATGTGTTCACACTACATGGTCTTGATAAATCTATTAAGAACTTTAGTCATAACATTGCCAAAGTATGGTTCTCTGGTCTACTTTTTGGGTCTAGGTTGGGTTCCCTTCCCACCATTATCATCCTCTCTCAAAAAGGAACACTGGCAAAGTTAAAAACATTGAAATGGTTTGATGAAAAATGTATTTAGCTTCAACAGTTAATCTGTCTGCTTTTGTTTTATTAATGGGACTTTCCTAGTTCCCTCAAATAATAACAGACTTCTGTTTCCTGTGTTGAATCCAGAATTGAATCTATTTCTAGTATTTGGCTTTGGTTCTCATGGGGGAAAAAAAACATTTCTTGACTGTTGGGATTTTATGTTCAGTGCTCCTCCAGGGACGCCAATTAATTTTGTGGATTTATATTATATGCCAATTCAGGTTGGATGCCATATTTATGTTGTTTTTAACTGTTATATTTAATTTTCCCGCCAGCTGAGAATTTAGATTTCTGATACTTTAAGATGTTCATTGCCCTCCCCGGTAGGGGTGGTAAATATCTTATTTAATGAGATATTATTTCGGCTGTTATATATTGTTTATGAATACACGCCCTACTAGTTATGTGGTAGAACAATAAATGAAAGTGATTCAAGCTCAAATCATGGTCAAACAGTTAATTCTGCACATACATGGAAAATCAATCAGCTCCAAGTCAAAAATATTTCAGTTTAAAACTCTTAACTAAAACTAGTGAAATTCAACTAAACTACTCTGTACAAAGAGGAAGGGGCAAACTTGGTTGAAAAACATATTACAGTTTAAGATGGATTTTGTGTTTGAAACCAAAGTTTATCAGGAAGAATTTGGGATATGATAAAATTAGCTTTTCACTAATTTGGAGAAATTGCAAAGTTTTCAGACCAATTCACAATGCACATCCATGAGGTGAATAACAATTATTTGGCCAAATAAGGTTTTATCAAACGATTTGCTTAATCAGTTTGCAATAGTTAATAGACTGAATAGACTGCAGAATTCCATTAAATGACTTTTGGTCATACTTGGTAATGGAAATGTAACACAGAGGTCCCACAGCTGTTTCTTCACCAAAGCTGTCTTCTCTTCTCTGGTCATCATGTCAGGATGAAATATGGACACTGGTTCCCAATGTCCAACAACCATGATCATGGCATATGGCACAACAGCACTGTCCTGTAGTTTATCTCGAGTTCTGACACAAATATCTTCATATACTCAAAGTATCTCAGAGTAGAAATACTGTAAATCATTTTATTATATATTATAAAAACACAAATACAAACTGATTAATCCATAAAAAAATCAACCTTTATTTCAGAGCTATTGTACATAATTTCAAAAGAAGAGCTTTTTTCATTTTGTTAATGCAGTATTTATTTCTGTCGGTAGCAATTTCACCAATTTAAATTATTTCTGTGTACAATCAAAGAAATTCAACGTAATATTGTGGATACAATGTTCTGTTTGTCCTTTGAATGTTTACAAAAACAGATGTTAAGGTTTTGCAACATGTTCAAATTCTTTCTGGGAATTGACTTATTAATTAAACATTTATTATTTGATAAAACAATAATTTTTTTTAGCATTAGGTTCAAATAAAAATCAAGTTGTAATTTTCAGATTTCTAAATTTGGAAACATATTTAAAAAAGAATGGAAAAAAATATATAAATTTGAAATGCATATTACAGCCCTTTAAACATTAATAGTACATTACCTCAGGTGCCAACACATCCTGATAGAATAATTTTATGGTTTCCACAGTTAATGTATACTATTAATGTAAATTAAAATAGTAACAGCAGAAATGCGAAATCTTGTTTATTTAGCAATTTAAAAATCTCCAGCTAACAGTGGGAAGCGAACACAACCAGAAACAGATCAAACAAAAGCCTATATGATAAACATGAGCACTTCTATGCAGTTTATTTAGACATAATTTACATATAATTTAAAGATGTCACATAATATAGAGCTCACAGATTTACTCATTGACATATTACAACTTTTGTCACCTTTCTTTATGGTATTTGGAAAATATGTCCGTAGCTTATAGCTTCCCTAATTATTCTAGTTTACTACTTGAAGAACTTGTCAGTTTTTAAGATTTCCCTAGACATGTATCTATGTATCTATGCATGTTTAATATAGAAAACAAACAGAGCTATAAACAGAGCAACCCTGGAAATTAATATCCTTTATTTTAATTTGATAAACTCAGCAGTTGTTTCTGTTGAACGTGAAAGCCAAATCCCAACATGTAGAGGCTCAGTGAATGAGGTCGTAGCTTTAAGTATGTTACGCATGGTCTCAGAGACATTGTAGAAAGACAGAATACCTGCTTTGTGATCCAAGTACACCCCTACTCTGGAGGAAACTGGACTTTTGAAAGCGATATCGAACTTCTGTTTTTTACCATAAAACGTATACTTTGTTGGTGTGCAACACAGTGCCCAAGAGTTATTATTTAAACCGAATGCGCTTTCATCTGTGTCCCCTGTTCGTTCTATATCCCTGTAAGCAACAGCTACTTCAATTTTTTTCCCACTCCACTCCACCTCCCAGTAACAACGTCCACTCAGACGTTGTTTACTCAGGACCTGCCATCTTCTAGTGAATCTGTCTGCATGATCTGGATAACACTGGTTTTCGTTGGTCATTGATACTTTTCTTTTACCCTCAGATAACTCCAGATATCGGTTTGCAGTGTTTGGATCAAGAGTGATTTTACACATATATTTTAAGAATCCACCTCTGGTCTTTGGTTCTGGTCCTGACAATAAAACCTCAACTTCTTTTATTGCCACTGAGATGTTTGTCCCTGTGTCTCTCAGGATGCCCTGCAGTTTCTCTCTGAGCTCTGACACAGCTGCTGTCACATCCTCAAAGTATCTCAGAGGACGAATATTGATGCTGGATGAGTGTGTAGACTCACTGCGTGCTGACAGTGAGAGGTAGTTCTGGAGAAACTGGTACAGATCCTCTGTGTTTGAGAGCTTCTCCAGCTCAGCATCTTTCCTCTTCAGCTCAGTGATCTCCTGCTCCAGCTTCTCCTGAAGCTCTTTGACTCGACTCACTTTAGTTTCCTGCTGGGATCTGATCTGCTGCTTCACATCAGAGCTTCTTTTCTGGATCTGATGGATCAGATCAGTGAAGATCTTCTCATTGTCCTCCACTGCTGTATCAGCAGAGCCATTGATGGCCTCCACCTCCTGTTGAAGCAGCTTCACATCTTTCTCCTGGTCCTGGATTCTCTGCTGGATTTGTTGTCGTCTCTCCTGGAGCTCCTTCTGCTTCTCAGTCCTTTCTGCTGCAGCTCGGACTGTTTCATGGCCTTTATGTTCATCCATTGTGCAGAGATAACAGATACACTGCTGATCAGTACGACAGAAGATCTTCATCACCTCATCATGAAGAGAGCAGATGATCTCCTCAAGCTTCTTAGAGGGGTCCACCAGCTTATGCTTCTTCAATCCAGAGACATCATAGTGAGGCTGGAGGTGATTCTCACAATAAGAAACTAAACAGACCAGACATGACTTAACAGCTTTCATCTTCCTCCCAGTGCAGACATCACAGGCCACATCTTCAGGTCCAGCATAGCAGTGATCAGCTGCAGCAGCTTGGAGTCCAGTCTTCTTCAGATCCTCCATTAATTCTGCCAACATGGTGTTTTTCACTAAAACAGGCCTCGGTGTGAACGTCTGTCTGCACTGAGGGCAGCTGTAGATCCCTTTATCTTTCTCTTTACCATCCCAAAAGCCTCCAATACAGTTTGTGCAGTAGTTGTGTCCACAGGGGATAGTTACCGGGTATTTCAGGAGATCCAAGCAGATCGAACAGGAGAATTTCACAGAATCCATCTGATATCCTTGCTTTTCGTCCAGTGAATAGTTACTGTCAGATAGGTTTCGTTTCTTCCAAAGCAATTGGTCTGTTGCATAATAAGCCTGAACTTTCAGCTCTCTGAAAGGGGAGTAACCTGGAATTGTAAATATTTTCTGGTTATACTGCAGGTAGGGTAATCAAAGGTTGCATCTACCTGGAAGGAATGCTCCTCCCTTCCCTCCAAGAGAAAAGGGAAGAGCTCTTCTGTCATTTGGGGACCTATGTAGCTCTCTACGGAACAGCCAGAGCTGACACGGGGAGGAGGATCAAGAAGAGCATCAGACTCATAAAAACAATCAATTAAAATAAAAATAGAAATCTAGAGATGATGAACAATAACCCACAAACCCACAACCTAATTCACTGATTGGATTTATTCACAATTTACATACATTTACATACAAACATACATTTCCTGGACTCCCTGGCTAACCACAAAACAAGGAGAAAACAGTTCACCAAAAATGGCAGAGAACCACTACCAGCTTCCACTATGAACAGAAAAACAAAACTTTCGTCAGTCAATTGTTCAACATGAACACACAGAAACACTCAGCTCATGCGCAAGATCACTTAAGATCAAGGCCCAGTGAGTAAGAGAAGGGGGCCTGACATCTCAGGGTTGAAGCTCTTTATGAGGTGGCTGACGAGCTTCAACACATTACACCTGTAATAGCCAGGAAGACCTGAAAAACAAACAGAGAGCTCTCTCATAAAGAGAGCTCCTAGAGGTCAGTGACCATAACACCCTCCCCCATTAAATCCTTCATAAAATAATATTTCAACATCATACGTACTCTAGGGAGGTAAGCAGCATTATATCCCGGACAAGCCCCCATTTATGTTACAACCCCCACCATTAAGACAACTAAAGGGTAAATTATACATCATTTTAATCTAATAACAGCAAATAATATATTTGTTTGTATTTCCTTCCTCTTCATCTGCATCATCTATCAAACTCCGAATACATCTCAAAGTGAGTCTCTGTTTAAATCATTCCATTTATTTCTCTTCCTCTTGAATGTTCAGACATTGGAGGGAGTCCCGGTAGTCTTAGGTGATTTAATAGTATAGCAGGTATCAAGTTTCAAGGAAGTGTTTTATTATTCAGGATCATCAACTTCTCAGCATTGAGTGTGAGGAATTCAGGGACTGCTTGACCCATCATATGTTGGTCATACAGAGAGGTGCTTATAAGTTGCCACACAAAAAGAAACTGCAGGTGCATCGGCCCCCACCCTTACAGTACAGTGTCCCCACCAGCTTTATCATAAAGTCATTCCCTTTATGGCAATAAAGATTATTTATTACCATGTTTATTTTTTCTCTTATTCTTTATTACATTTAACTTTTATTTGCTATAATTTTGTGGGAAGAGTTAAAAACAAGGGTCCCTACATTGAAGTAAATAGTAATTTTATTCTTCTCCATTTAAAAATGCCATATTGAGCCTTTAGTTAAAATGTCAGATACATGCATCAAAGTGTAACTTTGTACAACGAAGCAACAAAGAACATATGAGCCAACATCAACCTAACACAAAACCAGAGGGCTTGGAGAAGAAACAGAATCCAGATGTTTGTTTTAAGGATTTACAATATCTGCCACTAGGTGACGATTCATCCTTAATTGTCTTGATGGCTCTGTATTTGTAGCATAAACTGGTGCTCATCAAAGGAGGATTTTATTTTTCTAATGGCCTTTATGACTACCAGCATTCTGCTGCTACAGCACGCTGTTATGACTGAATTAATTCTTTGAATGACAGTTTGGTAAATGAAAAGAAACAGGCTGCTGCTGTCCTGTTCTTGCGTTCTGTTGTTTTCTTTTGTTGTCTGTTAGGTTAAAAAATGTAGGTTCGTAAAAGAGGAACTGAGTCTACACAGAAGAGGGATTTTTAACGGCTTCTGCAGAAGGAGAGAGCTACAATTAGCTACATCTACTTTCTGACGGGCTTCCTCAGCAGAAGCTTTTTTATTAGCAGATCATAACACGTGGGGTGGGTGTTACAAAGTAGAGTGTTCTTCTGACAAGGCAATTGATCAGGTCATAGGACAAAATGCTCCTCTGATTGAATCACAGAATAGAGTGGTCTCCTGATAACTGTGGTTATCCTTGCACAAACATCAGCAATTTTCTACCACTGTTGCATGACAGTTTGCAGTAAACAGAGTGAACCATCTCATTTCTCCAATGTTCGATGTGTACACACATCAATTATCATTGAATAAACCTAACATTGTCAATGGCAAGTTTATTATATATACTGTAGCACATTTAATACAAATGCATACGTGCATTTGCCTATATGCATGCATCAATACAAGTAAACTCAATGAAATAAGTGATAAGAAATTACAGAACACAAAGGGAGGTTACAAAAAAGAAATAAAAAAATAATTTGCTCAACTAGAGTTAAAGGCAAGTGCAAACAGTAGGTTTTCAATAAAGACTTAAACATACAAAGTGACTGGACTGCTCTAATGTTTAAGACGGTTCCAGAGACTTGGTGCAACCACAGCAAACGCTTCCCTCTAGTTTTCAGTCAAGATCTTGCCGCAACAAAGTCAGTTGATTTGCTGATCTTGCTGATCAAGCGGGAACATAGAACAGGAGCTCAGAAAGATGCTTAACTGTGTTAAATGTGCCAGACCTGCAAACCTCTTTCCATGTGCGTTTTGGAAGGTTTGAGTTTTCATCCAGCAGCAGCTTAGCGAGGCAGGCTAACAGCAAAGGGGGGGTTGTCCTTTGTCCCATGCAGCTCACACCAAGGGATCTTCAAGAGACTTTCACCTCCAGTCCGGCTCTGTAAGTTCTGAAACTCAAAGAAATGTGTTGCAAACTGTCTGTTTTGAAGCAGTTTGGTTATGGAATGTGAATCATCACGACTTAGCCTTGTTCATTCTGGAGATCTGAGCCTTGAGCCTGGGTCTTCATGGTGGTTGCCTCTTCCGATGTGAACCCCCAGGAAGATTCACGGAAAGAGAGAGAAATCCTTTATGTGTGTGTGTTTTTTTTTTTTTTTTACTGTACTCAGCTCCATGTGGCGGCCAAGGCACACCCCTGTGGGACGTGTCTTGAGGAGCAAGTTGGCCTGAAAAGTGGGTTTAAGAGCAGAGAAGACAGGTCTCGCAGCTATTTTATGACCATCCTATTCTCCAGTGATCATGTTAAGGTGAAACATGGGCATTGCTTCTCAACTTCCAAAATGATTATCATGGTTCATGCCTCAACAATGTGTCTATCAGGATGTCTTGTATTTGAACTTAGACACATCTACTGTGAGATACTCAACGGTTCTCAAAGGACAAACATGGATGTTACATAAGCACATTAATGAATTAAAACTACAAAACATTTATAGGCCAAGGCGGAGACTTAAACCAGTAGAGCTGTCTTAGTGTATTCAGTATATGTAAATTTCCAAAATGAAAGCTCAGTTCCGACACCTTTGTTGTTTATTTTATATCAAATCACAAATCAAATATTTCCATTTAGAACTGCTTATCAAATGTCAACACCATTCATTGTCAGAATATTAGCTTTATTCATTTTCTAGATAACAAAGCAACAGTTGATTGTACCCTAACATCTATGAGAGTTTATTAACAGGTATATAATTAATCCATGCTGAATCTAAATACACAAATATACACTACAATGTATAGTTTTGGTCAAACTGCAAAGAAAAACAAAGATAAAATGGTTCATTTAATCCATTGTTAAAACAACAAACGATTTTATCTCAAGGTACCTCCTGGTAAAGGTTAAATAAAAATAAATAAATAAAATATATTTTCTTTTAATTTAAAACAAAAACATTGTACAACAAAAACTCTATTAATCATATTTCCAAAATTTCTATTAATTTTAAAAAGAAGAAAAAAGTTTTATAGTATTTCTAACAGAAAATGAGTGTAAATATACATTTGTTTACATTAATAAAGGCCATGAGCTGGTATCAAACAGTAGCTGTTAGAATATAGACAAAAAGTGTTGCGCCTTCTGCTGATTCAATAACGTGGAAGTAATTTCCCACTAGTAGTAAAGATTCAAACCATCGAACATTAACATAAAACCTACATATTTAATATGAAATAATAGCTGCATAATGTTCATTTACTTTTTGATCCATACTTTAATATTAGAACATACATCGTAGCATGCTAGATGAGTAGCTTTAATTATACACTACTCAAAAAAATTAAAGGAACACTGTAATCAGAGTATAGCATCAAATTAATTAAACTTCTTGGATATTGATCTGGTCAGGTAAGCAGCAGAGGGGGTTGTTAATCAGTTTCAGCTGCTTTGGTGTTAATGAAATTAACAACAGGTGCACTAAAGGGGCAACAACAAGATGACCATCAAAACAGGAATGGTTTTACAGGTGAAGGCCACTGACATTTCTTCCCCTCCTCATCTCTTCTGACTCTTTTTCACCAGTTTTGCATTTGACTAGGGTCACTGTCACTGCTGTTAGCATGAGGCGCTACCTGGACCCTACAGGCAGTCCAACTCCTCCAGGATGGCACATCAATATGTGCCATTGCAAGAAGGTTTGCTGTGTTTCCTAGAACAATCTCAAGAGCATGGAGGAGATTCCAGGAGACAGGCAGTTACTCCAGGAGAGCTGAACAGGGCCATTGAAGGTCTATAACTCATCAGCAGGACCGGTATCTGCTCCTTTGTGCAAGGAGGAGCAGGAGGAGCACTGCCAGAGCCCTACAAAATGACCTCCAGCAGGCCACTGGTGTGAATGTCTTTGATCAAAAAATCAGAAACAGACTTCTCGAGGGTGGCCTGAGGGCCCGACGTCCTCTAGTGGGCCCTGTGCTCACTGCCCGGCATCGTGGAGCTCGATTGGCATTTGCCACAGAACACCTGAATAGGCAAGTCCGCCACTGGCACACTGTGCTTTTCACAGATGAGAGCAGGTTCATCCTGAGCACATGTGACAGACGTGAAAGGGTCTGGAGAAGCCATGGAGAACGTTATGCTGCCTGTAACATCGTTCAGCATGACCGGTTTGTTGGTGGGTCAGTGATGGTCTGGGGAGGCATCTCCATGGAGGGACGCACAGACCTATACAGGCTAGACAATGGCACCCTGACTGCCATTAGGTATCGGGATGAAATCCTTGCACCCATTGTCAGACCCTATGTTGCTGCAGTGGGTCCTGGGTTCCTCCTGGTGCACGACAATGCCTCATTTGGCGAGAGTATGCAGGCAGTTCCTGGAGGATGAAGGAATTGATACCATTGATTGGCCCCCACGCTCGCCTGACCTAAATCTAATAGAACACCCCTGGGACATTATGTTTTGATCCATCCGACGCCGCTAGGATGCACCTCAGACTGTCCAGGAGCTCAGTGATGTAGGTTGGCATCCTTTTGTTCCTAACACTTCACCCAGTCCATATCAGTATAAATAGACAGCAGGATTTTTTTCACCCATTGAGATCTGATGTGTTTTCAAAGTGTTCCTTTACTTTTTTTTGAGCAGTGTAAATATTCAGATGTAGCTTTGATTCATAACCCCAGTAGTTTGAGATTGAAATAAATAATTATTGAAATAATTCACATTATTTATTGCTTTAAACATTATCAAGAAGCTTGTTATGCAAAAATGCTTCCTGTTTTCAATGTAATTAACTCTCCATTGGAAACATGTTACTCTGAGGATAACTAGGCGTTATCACTGAGGTGTAAATGAACCAGAGCTTTAAACTGGGCTACTCTGTTTCATTTATTGCTCTATTGTAACTGAATGAACTCTGCAGTGGTTCCTACTGAGCGTGAAAGCCAAATCCCAGCATACAGAGGCTCATTGAATGTGGTCTGAACTCCGTGGATGAGAATCATTAAAGAACCAAAGACGCTGTACAAAGACAGAATCCCTGCTTTGGTATCAAGGTACACTCCCACTGTGGAGGAAACAGGAATTGATTCATCAATATCCTCCTTCCAACCATCAGTATGAAATGTATATTTATTTGGTGAGCAACACAATGCCCAAGAGTTCTCATTCAGACCAAAAGTACTCTCCTGTGTGTCCCCTTCTCTTTTTATTGCATCATATGCAACTGCTATTTCAATGCCTCTCCCACTCCACTCCACCTCCCAGTAAATACGTCCAGTCAGACGTTGTTTACTGAGGACCTGCCACCTCCTAGTGAATCTGTCGTCGTGTTCTGGATAATGCTGGTTTTCATTGGTCATTGTTACTTTTCTGTTGCCTTCAGATAATTCCAGATATTTGTGTGCGGTGTTTGGATTGAGAGTGATTTTCCGTGCATGCCTTAAGAACCCAGCTCTGGTCTGTTGTTCTGACGACGAAAGCGTACAATCTGCTATAGCGACTGTTGTTTGCATGTTTTTTGACTGATCTATGACCTTTAGTTCATCTAAGTCATCGTTGACATTTTCCTTTGTACTTTGGTCTGATTCTGGTGGCAAAACATCCACTTCAGTGACTGCTAGTGAGATGTCTGTCCTTATGTCTCTCAGGACATCCTGTAGTATATCCCAGATCTCTGACACAGCTGCTGTCACATCCTCAAAGTATCTCAGAGGATGAATATTGATGCTGGATGAGTGTGTAGACTCACTGAGTGCTGACAGTGAGGGGTAGTTCTGGAGAAACTGGGTGTGATCCTCTGTGATTGAGAGCTTCTCCAACTTAGCATCTTTCCTCTTCAGCTCAGTGATCTCCTGCTCCAGCTTCTTCTGAAGCTCTTTGACTCGACTCACTTCAGTTTCCTGCTGGGATCTGATCTGCTGCTTCACAGCAGAGCTTCTTTTCTGCAGGAGACGGAGCAGATCAGTGAAGATCTTCTCATTGTCCTCCAATGCTTTATCGGCAGAGCCATTGATGGCCTCCACCTCCTGTTGAAGCAGCTTCACATCTTTCTCCTGGTCCTGGATTCTCTGCTGGATTTGTTGTCGTCTCTCCTGGAGCTCCTTCTGCTTCTCAGTCCTTTCTGCTGCAGCTGGGACTGTTTCATGGCCTTTATGTTCATCCATTAAGCAGAGATAACAGATACACTGCTGATCAGTACGACAGAAGATCTTCATCACCTCATCATGATTGGAGCAGATGTTCTCCTTGAGCTTCTTAGAGGGGTCCACCAGCTTGTGCTTCTGTAATGGTTCAGCATCATAGTGAGGTTGAAGGTGATTCTCACAATAAGAAGCCATACAGACCAGACAGGACTTGACAGCTTTCATCTTCCTCCCAGTGCAGACATCACAGGCCACATCTTCAGGTCCAGCATAGCAGTGATCAGCTGCAGGAGCTTGGAGTCCAGTCTTTTTCAGATCCTCCACCAACTCTGCTAACATGGTGTTTTTCTTTAAAACAGGCCTCGGTGTGAACCTCTGTCTACACTGAGGGCAGCTGTAGATCCCTTTCTCTTTCTCTTCACCATCCCAAAAGTTTCCAATACAGTTCATGCAGTAGTTGTGTCCACAGGGGATAGTTACCGGGTCTCTCATCAGATCCAAACAGATCGGACAGGATAATTTCACAGAATCCATCTGATATCCTTGGTGTGCCATTTTTCACACTGTGAACTGACACTGCATGATAGGTTTTGTTTCTTCTAAAGCAAACAAACATGAACTTCCAGCTATCTGAAAGGGGAGTAACTTAGTAAGGAAGTTACTTTTCTGGATATACTGGAAGGGTGAGATTCCATCTTCCTGGAAGAAATGCCCCTCCTTCTCTCTAAGAAAAGGAAGGAACGCTTTTTTCATGATATCTCTTAATTGGGTGTTACCTCGGTAGCTCTCTACAACACTGCCAGTGCTGACATGGGAAGGAGCATTAGACAGGCCAAAGATTCATACAAAAAAAAAGGAGATATGATGAACCATAACCCCCAAGGCATGTGAAGGGGCATTCAGGCCCTAAACAACAACAAAACCATATCCTACTTACCATCCTCTAGGCAGCAATATGCTGGCAGAGAAGCTGCACAGCTTTCTTGCACAGGTTGAGGCTGGGATTCTTACAGAGTCTTTCTATCTGTGACAAATTCATCCACATTCCTAAAAAATGAGCCATATAGAGCCTCAGTGAACACTGATGCCTGTGATTATCAAATGCTTTGAGCATTCAGCTCTCTGTCTCCCTTCAACAACAAACCAGGCCACAATACAAGCATCCATCCATCTTCTAACACGCTTAATCCCAAGTGGGGTCATGAGGGGTGCTGGAGCCATCTCCAGCCAGGTAAACCCTTGACAGGTCGCCAGTCCATCGCAGGGCAACACAGAGACAAACAACCACTCCCGCACACACCTAAGGAGAATTTAGAGAAGCCAATTAACCTAACAGCCATGTTTTTGGACTGTGGGAGGAAGCCGGGGTACCAAGAGAGAACCCACACATTCTCAGGGAGAACATGCAAACTCCATGCAGAAAGACCCTGGGCCAGGAATTGAACCCAGAACCTTCTTGCTAAAAGGCAGTACTGCTACTTACACTGAGGAGAAAATTACAAACATCTTATCTCTTAACATGACTTGTTGGTAGTGTGTGGCTCCCATCTAGTGTTAATTTGGTGGTACTGCAGTTGACATGGACCACCAGGAATATCAAAGCAGATTACAAGTATAAAAGTAGAAGACTTTTGGGATCTTTTGAAAATCAAGAATCAAACAGGGCCTGTTCCATTGCAGACTTTAGGTTTTGGTGACTTATTTTTTTTACTAGTATCTCATATTAACAGTTTTACCTGATAGCCTTTGTAAAGCATATTAATTTTGTGTTCTAAAATCAACATATACAAATTTTTAAGACAAAGAAAAATAAAAACTATTCACCTCATTCTTAATTGTCAGTAAATGTTGCTCACAGACATAACTGCATCAATTATAAGACAGTAGAATTATATTTTATACCTTTGCTGAGATTCAATATGAATTTAATGATTGTTTTAAGAACTTGTTTGGTTCTGATGGTGGTGGTGGAAAAAAACATTAACGTACATCACTAATGGAAAAATAAAGTAATCAACAAAACATTTATAGGCCAATGCGGAGACTTAAACCAGTAGAGGTGTCTTAGTGTATTCAGTATTTGTAATTTTCCAAAATAAAAGCAGTTCCCACACCATTGTTGTTTATTTTATATCAAATTACAAACCAAATATTTCTATTTTGAACTGCTTATCAAATGTCAACACCATTCATTGTCAGGATATTACCTTTATTCATTTTCCAGAAAGCAAAGCAACAATTGATTGTACCCTAACAGCTACGACAGTTCAGTAACAGGTATATAATCAATCAACCCTTAATCTAAATGAAAAAATATACACTACAATGTATAATTTTGGTCAAACTGCAAAGAAAAATAAACATAAAATGGTTCATTTAATCCATTATTAAAACAACAATCACATATATTTACATTTTACTTCAAACAAAAACATTGTACAGCAGAAACTCTATTATTCATATTTCCAAAGTTTGAATCAATTTAAAAAAGATTAAATAAGTTTTATAGTATTTCTAACAGATAAAGAGTGTAAATATACATTAGTTTACATTAATAAAAGCCGTGAGCTGGTATCAAACAGTAGCTCTTATATTTTAGACAAATAGTTCAAAGTGTTGCGCCTTCTGCTGATCCAATAACATGGAAGTAATTTCCCACTAGTAGTAAAGATTTAAACCATCTACAAAATCATTAACGCAAAACATTATTAGATATTTAATATGAAATAATAGCTGCATAATGTATAATGCATAATGTATAATGCATAATTTTTGATCCATACTTCAATATAAGAACAGGCATTGTAGCATGCTATATAAGTAGTTTGAGATTGTAGAATCAATAGTTCAACCTTTTTCTTTATGCGATATTATTGAAATAAGTCACATAATTTCTTTCTTTAAACGTTATCAAGAAGCTTGTTATGCAAAAATGCTTCCTGTTTTCAATGTAATTAACTCTCCATTGGAACCATGTTACTCTGAGGATAACTAGGCGTTATCACTGAGGTGTAAATGAACCAGAGCTTTAAACTTTTGCTCGGTTTCATTTATTGCTCTATTTTAACTGAATGAACTCTGCAGTGGTTCCTACTGAGCGTGAAAGCCAAATCCCAGCATATAGAGGCTCATCGAATGTGGTCTGAACTTCGTGGATGAGAATCATTTTAGACCCAAAGACGCTGTAGAAAGACAGAATCCCTGCTTTGGAATCAAGGTACACTCCCACTGTGGAGGAAACAAGAACTGATTCATCAATATCCTCCTCCACATTATCAGTATAAAATGCATATTTATTTGGCCAGCAACACAATGCCCAAGAGTTCTCATTCAGACCAAAAGAACTCTCATATGTGTCTCCTTCTCTTTCTATTGTATCATATGCAACTGCTATTTCAATGCCTTTCCCACTCCAC